AAGCAAATGTTGACATTCTTACACATTTTATATTTTGGTGAACGAGGTTTGGATAGTTTTCGTTATCATCACTATGGTGGATTCCAACTTTCTCAACTATTCCTTCTCATCACTATTCATTGGTATGCTCAACACTATAGAGTATTTCTCATGGGATAGTTTTAGTGGTAAAAATTGCTTGCAATGAAAGACTCATGGGAGTAGCTCCTATCAATTCTAGATAGATGAGATGACAAAAGTGTGAAAAAAGGCCAACATTTGATAACTTGAGTGATTAAATTGGACATTAAAAAAATTAAAACTACAGTAATCACCACTAAATAGCCCAAGGATATTTTATTATTCACTCATTAACTCAATCTTCACAATTATTTTGGTTTATGATGCCTAAAATATTTAATAAAGTTTTTTACCTAAATTATGAATATGAAATCATGATAATAAATGTACATTTTCATAATTTCACTCAGAAAATATGATATGGAGTGATTGTGCGGATGAACTATTAACTCAATTACATCTAAAATCACTTAAAATGTTCCACATAAGCATGTTAAAGGAGAAAAATCAAAGCTATAAACTTCATTAAATTTACTCTTTACTTTAAATTTGAGCAATCTACAATTTTAGTTTTTGTAAGAAATAAATTTAATGAACAAAGATTTTAATTTTTAAATAATTAGAAGCAAGGAGACCAAGCATCATGCTTGGTAAAGTGAATATGAATTCTATGATCCGAAAGTACTACATATATAAGCAGCGAAATGATGCAATATAAACAACTAATCAAGCCATGTTATCCTGCAAAAGCCCAATTGGCTATAGCCCAGTTGCAAAAAGTCAAAACAAGCCATGGAAAATTTAAATTGGGCCCATTTTCATCCCGTGTTAAGCTGCTATTTATTTTTTTCAAAATTTTAACTTTTTAAGTTGATTATTTTATTAGGATTAATTGTTCTCCTTGGATAATGTTAGGTTTAAATTTAAATGTTTTTTAGTATTAAATAAATTTTATATGTAATTAGATTTATAACTCAAAAGTATTTTGCTTTATCATTGTGAGCCTATTTCTCTAAAATATGGATTGATGGCTTGTATTTAGATGTAACTATTGATGATTGAAAGCAAATTATTTTAAGGCCAATTTGGTGTACTCGTAGGACAATAATATCTCTTCTAGTTGAATACCTCCACTAGCCTTTGCACTCATTGATTGCTCTACTGGCATCTCAACATCAGGAAACCCTTGCCAATTTGAGAGCACCTCTATGTTCCTTTCTAAATCACAAACCATATTTTTTTAGTGTTATCAACCACATACCGTTTACGCTTATTATTGCTACAATTATATGGAGAGTTTTTACCTGCAAGATGATCAAAATTTCTCAATATTCCACCATATTTGCTAAGGTATAATTTCTATTGATGTTAAGACAATTGCATTTTTGTGGCAATTCTTATTACTTTGCATTAGCAATTGATTAGTTAATCTACACTGTGAATATCATGGCCATGGTCCTACTACTTAAGGCACCTTATGATGAGATTTAGCTTGCTTATTGCAGCATGATTTCGAACTAGGTCATTTTCTGCATATTTGGAAGCAACAAACTTGAGTTTGTGATGGTTGAATTTTTTTTGGGTGATATGATATATGTTTATAATTGGTAGTAAATCTGTTTTCATATCAGTTTGATATACGATTAGCTGCACTTGCATATTGTGTCCTTACTGTTTTTAGTCATAAAACTCGCTACAAAAATAAGTCCAAAATAATTTTAGTGTATATTTTCCCCAAAATGATTAATTTCAAGAATCGAAAACTTATTTCCTGATTGGTAATGATAAAAGGGCTGCATCATTAAAACATGATCTTTGATTAAGCATCAATAAGCTAGAGAGGGCATGAGCACTTTGAAATAAATTATGGAATACCAAAATGACATAAGGAGATTTAGTGATAATATGAGAAGTTGCAAAAAAAATCAGGGAAAATATTGATTTTGTTTACTATTAAAAGTTACAAGTACTTATGAGACATGTAATAGTTATAAAGAAGTGAGATATCTTGCAAAGAACGGTACTTAGCATTACAAAAGTTACAACTATCTTAATGATTTGTATAGTAGGGTAAGTACAAAAGGAGAAAATTAGAGTTTTAGTTGTAAGTTGAGTTTCTATCGAGATTTGAAGAACTAAGTGAGATATTTAAGTGGCTTGTTTAATATTTCCTTCTAAAATAATCATATAGAGAAGAAAAACTATGGTAACACTCTTTAAGAATGAGATATGTCAAATTCTTATATTTTTTTTTACTTTCAAACTTGTAAGTCATATAGTGAAGTTATGGAAGTGGGTAATGAAATATATGCTTTAAAAATTCATTTCTATATTCGATGGTAAATTTGATTTTATATGATGAATATTTTTTATGGAGTCCTAATAAAATTAATACATCAACAACAAACAAACCTTTATCCTTTTGTCATATTGAGTGTCATATTTTCGTTTAAATCTAATAGATTAAGATTATTTCTTATACATTATGCCTAAATCGTTTTAGGTCTACCTCTATCTTTCTTAACATAAATTGAATCTAAAACATCTACTCTTCTAACCAGAAACATCTACTCTTCTAACCTTCTAACCAGATCATCAGATGGTCGACGTTTAATATAACCAAACCATCTAAGCCGACTCTGTAATCTTGTCCACCACTGGAGCTACACCTAGCCTATTGTGGATATATTCATTTCATATTTTGTCTCTAAGTGTCAAGCCACTTATCTACTTGAGCATTTTTATCTCAACAACACTTAACTTTGTTTTTTGCTTCTCTTTTAAAGACCAATATTTTGCACCATAGAGCATTGTAGGTCTCACCACAGTCTTATAAAATTTTTCTTTCTAGAGGTACTTTTCTATCACACGATAGGCCAGATGCATTCCTCCACTTCAGCCAACCAACTTGAATTTTACTAATAACATCCCCATCTATATCACCATCGCTTTGAACAACGGACCCAAGATATCTAAATCGTTCACACCTTTTAATAATTTGATCACCCAAAGTCACACTTCTGTCACTAGAGCTCACTAACACTAAAGCTACTACTACTAAAATTACATTCCATGAATTCAGTTTTAGTTATACTCAGACGAAGGCCTTTAGACTCCAATGTAGACCTACATAATTCAAGTTTTTTCTATAACTCCTTCTCTAGTCATATCCACAAGAAGGATATCATCAGTGAAAAGCATAAAAGCATACACCAAGTTACATACATCCTCCTGTAAATGCCCAATAAGAGCATTCATAACTAAAGCAAAAAGATATGGGCTTAAAATTTGTGATAAACAAGATAATATTTTTTCAAAACTAATTTGCAGAGTATGAAAAACGAGGGAAAAGAATGCAAATGTATATATAGTTTTAAATCGTTTTTCATATTTTGCGTATTACTTTCGAAAAAGCGTTATCTTGTTTCTCACAAATTATATTTGTAAGATATTAATGAAAAATTAGTTATGTCCAATGTAGTTAAAGTTTTTTTATGTTATAAAAACTAGTGTTAAAAGTAGTTTGTGGAGTCATAAAAAAAGCTTAAAATAGCAGGAGAATTATATCAATGATCAACATATTGTTTTTACCCTTTAGCATTTTTAATGGAAATGTTTACAAAATTTTTTTTAAGATTTATGCTACATGAAAATGATGCTGTTCTGATACTTGAAACCTTTCCATAGTAAAAAGTTGGTAAAATGGAAAAGAATTTTGGAATATAAAATGCTTCTGATTAGTATAACTATAAGACAAGGTCTGTTACAAGATGTGTAATTTTAGTGTCTGAATAATTTGCAATTATTAGTCAACATAACTGGAACATCAATTGAAATTTTTAGTGATCAGTCTCAGTATTTTTGTTCTATTATAATAAAGAATGTGAATAAATGAGAAAACAACTTCTCGAGTATAAGTTGATTAGTTAAAAGGAAGAATTGTCTCATATACACTATGCAACAAAAGAATGTCAAGGGGTTCTGAAGTTAATTTGTTTTTAAAGCTGCAACTGGATCTGTATGCCATATGATTTTTATTTCTGGACAACAAATGAAAATTATAATATTTTTGTATTTAAAAGGAAGAAGTGATTGGGTGAGAATTGATTATATCAGAGGGATTGTAGATGGGGCATGTATGAAAATGAGATACTCGAAAATAAGAGGGTAGAATAAGTTAAGTTTGTAGAATTAATGTAGGACTGTGGACGAAAGAGAGTATTCACAAAATAATATGGCTAGGAGTTATGCAAAAGACTTGCACAGATCTGATACTAAATGTGGCTGAAATAGGATTCATAAGGAAAAAAACAAGTAGTCAATGATAATTCTAAGAGTTTGTTGACATGCTTTGGCTATATAGCTGTATGATTGTAACATCTCTCTATTCTCTTGTGTAATAGTACCAACAAGATTCAATACTTAGTAAAAATTATGATTTTAAATCACTGTTATTTTATAATTCATTTCCATATGCAGCACCATTGAATATAATATACTATGTATAGTATTTTTAATAATAAAAGTTGGCATGCATATATACATTTGTACTGACGGATGGATGTTTGCATTTGCATTGACAAGCATACATGCTAGTATCTGTTTATGTGCACTGCGTTTGTGTGCATTTATATGTTCTTCAATATGCTCGTATGTACATTCAGTTATGTATGGATTACTGTATGTGGACATCATGTATTCCTATTTCTAATGTGCTTTTTACATGTATACCATCATAATTATTTGTTAACGATTATCCTTAGCTTGTGGTCGGGCAAGTTTGGTACATATTTGTGGGATTCTTTCTGACACATTTATATTTCTGTTCTCGTACTTTGCTCTTTCATTGCATTTGTAAGCACATGAAAACACTTCATTGTGTATTTTTTTTTGGTATATATGTATATATATATTTATGAAGTTTCTTTCTGCGATATTAGATGTATAAAAGGTGAACCTGCTATTGAGGAATACTTTGAGATGACTCTACAAGCTGAAGCATACAGGGATCATATATCAGAGGTAGTCATGCAGTCCCATTTGGCACAACCGTTTCTTTCACTTGGTAGAGTGGTGGTTGTTAAATCGCAATATGTGAGTTTTCCTCTCAGAATTACTATCGTCTTTTTACTATTGTGCTTTAGTATCTTCATATCTTTAAGGGTACCGCGAGAAATGTTTTTAAGTGCTTAAATTACATTGACAATCTTTTAGTTTATTCTTATGTTCAGGTATTTTTGTTTCTTAATCTATATTGATAATGAGAAGTCTAGTTTGTTATGAAACAAAGCATTACCAAATAGAATGTTTTTCTTCTTCAAAATTATCTTAAGTTTGAATAGCAAAATTTTAGTAGAAAATCAGTGATTGACAAAAGCTACTTGTTAGCTGCTTAATTCTCTATTTCTTACAGGCCTTTTTTTTAAATGGAATGGCAGGATGATGATCACTTACTAGGTGTAATCGTTAAAACTCCATCTATTGCGCATAAAAAGTATGTTGTTCTGGTATTGACAACAGATATGGCCTCATCTTTGCAATCTTCGGCAGCCCCCATGGATAAGTTTCAAGAGAAAGAAAATAACAATACTCCACAGGGTTATTTCATTCAACCTAAAGGAAAGAGGGGCATGGATGAAGAGTATTTTACATCAGTTAGCTCGCGAAAAGGATCTGGTGTTATAAATATAAAGTTGCCTGACCGTGGTAATGCAGCTGGGATGAACTATGAAGTCAGAGAAATTGAAAATAAAGAATTCATTGGTATTTGCCATCCTAAAATAAAAATTGATCAAGTAGGTCTTCTTGAGGATCCAAAAAATGCAGTTTACTCTAAAACTGTTCAGCAGCTGTTAGAACATAGGCGTGATGGAACTAACTATCCCCCTCTTCTTGATCCTGTAAAAGGTACGACATTTGAATTGCTTAAAGAATTTTTGCTGCAAAATGCCTCAGATTTTCCATGTCTTACGTTTTTTTATAAATATTTTCTTTTCCTGGTTCATTTGAATATTATGGTCATATGTGTGGGAATAGAAACATGTTTTGGTAGATTACTTCCATTGTTATACTGTTAGAAGCAGGAAATACAGTTGTCTAGCAGACCTATAATTCTCAAGCATAATGTTTTCTTATTTTGATTTGATTTTCTTTTTACTTTAGAAAATCACAATGCTTTATTTGATTTGTTTTTTGATTAAGTGGGTGTAACACAAGTAGCAAGTTTGTGCTCTTTTGATGTTTGCTTTGCAAAATAAATTTGATTCTTTATTAAAATAATCTGCAATTATAACTGGTTTGACTGTATAGATTGTACTTGGGCCTTGCATAGGAATGATTTGTTAGTGTAGGAAGAACTCTCTTAATTTTTCATTTAGTTAAAAGTTAGAACCTAAATAGTGATTATTTTGTTTCTTTGTTTCATCCATCTATTGGTAACAAATGGATTTTGTACTAGCTGCTATTTTTGTTCCATGTCTGATTAGAATATCGCTTATTAACTTTTGCTGGTGGTTTTATTGGTCCTTAATTTCCTATTGCTGTTTTTAGTCTTTTTTATGAAATGAGAACTTATAAATAACTTAATAATTATTTAAAATAATTAAATACTATTTAATTTGAGTAATAATTAATCATTTAATTAGCCTATTTTATCACACTTTATTTGTCTTAATGTTTCTATGGGTATTACAGTATCATACTTTCTTTATTCATTCTCTCAGAGCAGCTTCTATACAGCAACAATAACCTAAAGGAAGTCTTAAATGTAGAAGAATTACAATCAAAATTTGCCTTGAATATGAAAGATAATGATAGCTAGCTAAATAAGAACTATCTCAATTTAATTTCTGTAAAATAGGAATTTTATCTCATGTTTTCCACTTGGGATTTAATTCCCACGTTTTTCACAAATATAGTCGGCAATGTCATCTCTTGTTACTCATTCCTTCCATTGTTATAACAATCATCTCTTAAAACACAGATAAGTTTGTTAACGGTATGTATGGGAAAGGGAAATAACTTGTTGTTCTCTCTTCTAACCTTTTTTTTTTGTTTTCCGTTATACTATATCAGATCTCAAGCTCAAAGATGTGGTTGCTGTGGAGAGATATCACATGCATAATAAAATACTGCAAAAGATGGCTGAGAACAAGTGTCATGGATGCATTAAGTTGAAAGAGCACCTTCTGTTATTGAAGGAACGGCATAAACGCATGGAAGAAGTCAACGCTTTGAAGTTCCAAATGTCAGATGAAGCACTGCAACAGATGCCAGATTTTCAGGGCAGAGTATGGTTTTCTATGATATGTGGAAATTAAATTAAGTTTATCATACGATCCAAAACTTAATGAATAGCATGAGCTGTTTTGACTCTCATGATGCTTGATAAACCCTAGCTAATCAGTGCCCGAGTTACTAAATTCTTTTTTATCAGGGCATAGATCTTATGGTCTCTTTATTTGCTTTGATTTAATTTAATATTCTTCTTTGGTATCTTCTGTAACGTGTTTAATTTTTTATAAAGTAGACATAATGGAGAAAAAGGATTCATGTGGCTAATCCCGCTTAGTGAGATAAAGGCTTGTTGTTGTTGTTGTTGTAAAGTGCCAAAATTATTCTCTAACTATTTATATTGGTCATTTTAGTCCAAGAGTTTATAAAAGTGTTTAATTAGTCTCCGAACTGTTTTAATGGGGGATTAAATAATCCTCATTGGAAACTATTTCAACCCATATTAAAAGTGCCTGACGACTAAATTGACAATTTTATAAACTTTGGGACTAAAATGCCTATCTACAAAGAGTCAGGGGATCATTTTGACACTTTCTTTATTTTTTTTATCAAGGGCATGACTTACATTTTACTCATGAGTCATTCTTTTTTTCCCTGTAGATTGATGTATTGAAGGAAATTCATTGCATTGATTCTGATCTGGTTGTCCAAATCAAAGGGAGAGTGGCTTGTGAGATGAACTCTGGGGAGGAATTGATATGCACAGAGTGCTTGTTTGACAATCAGTTCGATGACCTAGAACCTGAAGAAGCTGTAGCAATCATGTCTGCATTTGTTTTCCAACAGCAGAACACTTCTGAACCAACTCTTACTCCTAAGCTTGCTCAAGCGAAAAAGAGGTGATATTTTTCTTAAATATCTCTTTATTTATTTTTACAAAGTCTTTGGAATCAGTTATAGTGATATATTTTGAGCAAATATTCTTGATAAATTGTGTGATTTTGTTCTTGTCTATTACAGTTTTTTAAACATTTAATTGAGTTTGTGATGGTGAGCGGGTTGATGAAGATCGTGGTGGAGATTTGATACCTTGATTCTTGAGGAATGAAGAATATGGTGTAAAGGAAGGATTAAGAAGGTCAGAGAGAAGAGATTCAGTGGATGAGATGAATGTATGGCTATGGAGAGAGAGACAAGAGGTAGCGTGAAGGAAGAGAGCTTTATAGATAGGAGTAGGGGGAGAAATCAATCGTGCAAAGTTTACGACAAGTAAAGAAACAAATGAATAATAAAGAACTTGATGCAGGCTCCTTTCACCCAATTGCAATTTTCTTGTATTAACAAATAATTTCTTGGAATTTTTTAGTAACCCCATGTCAATATGATCCCACCAACAGCAGTTTCTTCATTCGGCCTTGCTAAGCCGCTGGGTTATCTAATACCTCCGCTGCGCCTTACTTGATATGACAACTTGAAAACCCTGAAAAAGCCAAAACTATCCCTACCACTGGTAAATCACTGCAACCTATCTTGGAGCACCAAATTTGGAATCTCTGTCGAGAACATCCATTAGCATCACTCTACTAAGATTTGTAGAATGTCCGCCAAAAGAGCTGCATGAGGCTGAGAAGTAAATTTCTCAAATGGATTCAGGCTGGAAGATCATAATCTCTACATGAATTTAATATGGTGGTAAAATGCTGCCCATTTTAACTTGTAGTTTTTGCATATTTGCAAACTCGTGGCAATTGACCTTGAATGAAAGTTATATTAATATGATAATTAATTGCGGAAAAATGGGTTCCACTCTTATTATGGCCCAAATCTTCCTGGCAAGCCAGTTAGATTCATCGGCTGAAATGACATAAATTGATAAATGAGAACCTGTGCATTGTGGAGTAAGGTTTGATTATGATTCATTTGGTTTCTTGTATTTAGAAAACAAGCTTGGAAAACTTCAATTTTTTCCCCACTCTTTTTGAGTGTATGGTTTACGCTGATGATATTCTTCTTGTGGATAAAACTAGAAAAAGAGCACAGGAAAGACTTAAATTATGGAGGTCTACATTGGAGTCTAAAGGCCTTTGTTGGAGTAGAACTAAAATTGAATACATTGACTGTAATTTTAGTAGTAATAGCTCTAGTGACAGAGTTGTAACTATGGGTGATCAAATTATTAAAAAGCGTGAACGCTTTAAATATCTCGAAGCGTGAATGTTTTAAATATCTCGGATCTATTGTTCAAAGTTATTAAAGATATGCATACTAGAGTTGTTACTTGTGTTCAAACTGAAGGAGGATTGACCAAATATTTTCCTATTTCTATTGGATTACATCAGGGATCGGCTTTAAGCCCATGTCTTTTTGCTTTAATTATGGATGGTTTTACTGGACATCTACAGGAGGATGTACCTTGGTGTATTATTTTTGCTGATGATATCTTTCTCGTGGATAAAACGAAAGAAAAAGCCCAGGAATAACTTGAATTATGGAGGTCCACATTGGAGTTTAAAGGCCTTCATTTAAGTAGAACTAAAATTAATACATGGAATGTATTTTTAGTAGTAATAGCTCTAGTGACAGAAGTATGACTTTGGGTGATCAAATTATTAAATGGTGGGAACGATTTAGATATCTTGGGTCCGTTATTCAAAGCGATGGTGATATAGATGGGGATGTTAATAGCAGAATTCAAGTTTGTTGGTTGGAGTGGAGGAATGCTTCGGGCCTTTTGTGTGATAGAAAAGTACAACTTAGACTGAAAGGAAAATTTTATAAGACGGTGGTGAGACCTGCAATGCTATATGGCGATGAATGTTGGCCTTCAATTCATTCGTATAATCAGGATCCCACCACTTAGATTTGAAAAGACTCCCTGAAATTATGTATAATTTGAAAATTTTGGTCTTAAAATCTCTTGCAATTATGCATATTATAGAAGCTTCTCCTCTCCTAAATTTTTGGAAAACCCTTTCGCCCTCTCATATTAAATTATAATTCTGCCACTGCTTCAATTACTTTTTACCTCATTTCTTTTCCTTCAGCAATTGGTCTTTTTGCCTCATTCTTTGCATTCCTCTAGTTAGGCATGCTTAAGATACATGCAGATCAAAAGCATATGGTTGCCTGACTTTATCTGGTGAACTTGAACATTAAATGTTTATTACACCAAAGTTTGTTATCTTATTTTTCTTTATAATTTATCTTTTGCATAAAGTTGTCTTTTTTACAGTGCTCTTGATATTGCAGGATCCCTCTGGAGTATTTTCTTTCAAAACTTTTCTTTCCAAACATCTACCACAATTCCGTCTGGCTATGAATTATCTCAAAAAAATTTGTAGTGAGGAGGAGCTTTTTAATAACAAGATTTGCTCACGAGTAGTTTTTAGGAGGAAGTTGTTTATAATACCTACAACAAGTTCAAAGAAAAATCTAATTTTTGCTGTGCTAAATTCCAATATTTTCTTTATGAACTTCTCTATTATTACTCATTTGTTTCTCATCATATGATAGTATTATGCTTATATTGAAATGCAGATTGTATGACACAGCAATCAGACTTGGGGAACTTCAATCCCAGTTCAAATTGGCAGTCTATCCCGAAGAATACGCGAAAGAAAACCTCAAATTTGGCCTCGTCCAAGTCGTTTATGAATGGGCAAAGGTCTGCATCTTTTCATTAGATCTGATTCAACCATATAAACATGTTTAGCGACTCAAACCCAACCTGTGATCGATGCAGGGAACTCCATTTGCGAGTATTTGTGAGCTCACTGACGTCCCCGAAGGTCTAATTGTGAGGACAATCGTTCGATTGGATGATCCCGCGATTTCCGAAATGCCGCCTCAATCATGGGGAACTCTGCCCTCTATAAAAAAATGGAGGCAGCATCCGATGCTATAAAGCGTGACATTGTTTTTGCGGCGAGCTTGTACATTACAGGAGTTTGATTTATTTACTTTTTTGGTGTCTGGTGTTTCTCTCTATCTTATAATTATTTTTTATCTTTTGAATTTACATAATCTGCATATTAGATGCTGAAACTTGCAGCTCTTTTTTTTTTCTCTTTCTTTTTTTTAATTCCAGCCTTTGATGGTTGGAAGGAACTACATTTTATCTGAAACTATCTTCAGTAAAAGGAGTAAGCAGATGATATCATGTTCTTCTCGATTTACATATTTTTGTTTGTGTTAAATGGACTTTAATTAATTTAAAAAAAGTTAGATGTAGCAATAAAAGTTATAGTTATGAGCGTAGTTAAAATGATATTTAACACCAAAACTTTAGTATTTATATACATGCCACTTATATTACTTTTTAAATTAAAAGTTAAAATGATGTTATTTTTTAATGCAAGAGTTTAGGTGATATAAATGTAAAAATCAAGGTCGAGGTGTAAAATATACAAATCAATAAGAATTTTGTGGTATGTATTTAAATGCCGAGAAAAAATGCATGGAAAATTCCTAAGTATATTGGTCAAGGAAATCATTCTTATATATTAGGGTGCCACAATTGACAGTTTGAACTTCAAAAATATGTTAGGGAGCGCCAAGTCTGCAAGGTCCATAACTCAGTTGAATGTGTACATTATAAAATCTTCAAAACACATCAATTTAATTTTTACACAATTGAGAAAATCAATTTTTAAATTTATATTTTGGCACACTTACGAACTTCACATAACCAAACACGCATATTTAACTTATGCACAAATAGCATATTTCACTTTTAAAATCATGGTAGACAATTCTTATATATTTACATAACCAAACATCCATATTTAGCTTCTGCACAAAACAATATATTTAACTTTTAAAAAGATAATAATAGTGCTATTTTTAATGTGATGCTAAATATTTGAAAGTTATGTACGGAAATATGAATGTTCAGGTTAAATATCTACAAATTGTGTAGCATGTACATAAATGTCTCTTACATATCAAACGCCTAAACTTTTATTATTACAATTCCATCCCCCAAATATCTAATGTCACAACAAAAATCACTTTAACTTTAAAAATGTTAAATACAACATTCCATGCAATATACATAAGAAACTTAAAGTTTAGATGTTATATATGTGCAAATACATAAGAATTGAATGGTAAGTATGTAATTCTTCCAAAAATAAAACCATAACAGATACCACATCTTGAATAAAACCAATGCCTCAACCGAACTCAGCAAATACCCACACCAGCAAAAGAAAATGAATAGCATAATAGCAAACTCAAATGTGTTCAACTAATCACTATCCTCCATCATTTCTAACAACATAGCTTAACAAATCTTTTGTACATTTCACCCAACACTATTTTTTGCATTGCATGTATTAAACAATCGACATTTACACTTCAAACCACAATTACTAAAAAATTTAACAAAAATAAATTAAAAAAAAAATACAAAAAAAAAAAAAACATCAAACAAGTGATAAAATTCCTCCCTAAGAACATGCCTGGAAAAATTATTCATCAATTAGGTTGTGTAGGCATTCTCCAGTTCATATAGTATTGCAAGTTCGGCAGCTTAAAGCTGCGCCTACCTAAAGATGGACCTCTGAAAGCATCCAGACTGCTACTGATCAAGCCAAGGATTCTAAATCCTTTATTATGCAACTGCAGCCTTTTTCTGGACAGATATTCCCAGTCCTCCATTTGAATCTCATCATCGTATCTGATCAATTATGATTAAAAGGCTATTAATCCAAATTAATCATTGCTTTCTTTGGAAAATTGTTATAAAACAAGAACAATTAAAGGGAGATAAAGGGAATATTTTAGTTTAAGCTTTTAATTACAAATAAAAAGTGATGATAATGCTACCTATTATTAACAGAGCACTGAATCTAATGCACAAAATGTCAACCAGATAAGGGGGTGTTTCTGCAACTAGGATTGAAGTTAAAATAGGATTTTAAATGTATTTATCAAACCCAAATGTTATAAATCTAGAATAATGTTTGGTTTAATTTAAAGTTAAATCCATTAAATTTGTCTATCCTGGTTGGTATAAATTCACTCCACTCACTTTCTTTCTAAGCTAAATCCGTTAAATCTACATAATAATTGGATTTAACAAAATTCGGATTTAATTTCCACCATTCGTTTCTTTGGCAGGATTTACTGTAATATTAACCTAAATCCTGTTCAAATCCGGGTACCAAACAGCCCCTAAAAACTAATGATGATGACAAAGAAAAAGTTTGATGGAGTAAAAATGAATGATGGATGGTGAACATGATTTATACCAAAAAAATTGGCTAGTAAATGTCATAAACCTCCCCAGCATCTCCGGATGAACAGATTTTTTTTTTTTTAATTTATATACACACCACATACTTCCTATAGTAAAACACCTAAAATTGGATATTTACATTCACAACACTTTGGTGTCATAAATCTACACATGAAAATGTATATTTCACTTCTAAAAGGTTAGTGATAGTACTTTTTTCATGTAATGTTAATTAATGATTTGAGTGTTAAGCATCTAAATATGAAAATTTAGGTATTAGATATGTTTATAAAAATTATGTGGCAAGTCTGTAAATGTATCCCGTTTTTTATTCAGACACCTACATATGCTAGGCCTTTAACCATAAGAGTTCAAAACTACCTCATTAACAATGAAGCCCATCCTATACAACCAAAAGAAGTAAGAGTGCTCTCCCTAGTATTCCGGTGCTTCGAAGCGTCCCTTGTAAAAAGAAACAAAGACCAACCGCTCGCTCGGAGCTGAATGTGCATTCTAACAAGAAGAATGGAGGCCTGATGCTTTATGTCTTCAAACTGCTCATTCCTGACAAGCAAGCGCTTATTTAAGTTAAGGAAACATAGATGACAAAGAAAAACATTATTTAAGGAAGATTTACATACAAAACACTCAATTCTTATGTATTTGCATATCCAACACCTAAACTTCAACCTGTTCGTGTATATCACTTTACCTATGCATGAATAGATGTATTTCACATTTTAAGAGTTGAATTGGTGGTATTTTTGATGTGATGTAAAAGATTTGGGTGGTTTGAATGTAAAAAAATAAATAAATAAAAAATTAGGTGTTAGAATGTAAATGGATAAGAATTGTGTGGTATGTATGTAAATGCCCCTCAAGTTAAAAGCTCATATGCCATTTATACTTATCGAGAGAACTGATCCTGCTAAAGTTGCCAGTCAAGGAAAGCATGTCATCTGCATCTAACAATATTATATCCAAACCATCATCATCTGGCGTCAATCTACCAAAGTAGTCCTCTACAAACCAGATTGAAGTATTCAAATCTTTTAGGTATTGTCTCTTACTGTATTGATGAGCTTGCAACTTACATTTTAATGGAAGTTCATTTACTTCCAAGTTGTTTAGCTCAGCATGAAGGATATAAAAATTACAACAATCATGTTGATTAATTTTCTTAACTTGTTCCAAAATTCCAGAATTAGTACTCTGGCAGGACTTTAACATCACAGTGAGTGCAATCAGCAGAGTTAGTATCAAAAGTCCGGTGGTCGCAAGTGCAGCAACGAAGACAGTCGCCGTAAATGATGACATAAAGATACCAGATTCCACGGCATATTGACTTCCCATTTCTGTAGGAGAATTTGAATATCAGAAAGTTAGGATGATGATGATGATGCAAAAAATAATAATAATAATAAATTAAAAAATTTATGTATGTAGCACGCAATTTTTATGTATTTACATATCTCGGACCTAAACTCTCATATTTACATACATAGCATTAAACCTTAGTGTGAAAATATATATTTCACATTTAAAAAGTGGTAACAGTGCTTTATTTGATGTGATATTAAAAATTGGAGTGCTATGTGTGTAAATAGGGAAAGTACAGGTCTGAAATATGAAAATACATAAGAATTGTGAGTTATGTATGTAAATGCCCTCAATAAATTTTCGAGATGATTTTAAATTAACAGTTCAAGACAATGCTAAAACATACTGTTAAAGTAATGAGCAATAATGATATGATCCAGGAACTAGTGCTGATATTGCTAGGAAACATAGTAACTAAAGAATGTGATGCCTTCAGGTATAAAAAAACATACTGTTTCTATGGGTATCCTGATAGATATAATGCTCATTCTGTCCATCAAAATCGGAGTATAATTTTAGTAAGACTTTCCAAAATGCTTTTTTTTCTATAATAACATTAAACTTAAACTATAAATATGTTTAAATCCACATAGATTATGCTAGTTTAAGAAATCAGCCAACACGGCCCCTCACATTATATGGAAAAATGAGTAGGGTTCTTTGCTAAAGTTTCTCTCAGTAAGAACCTTAGATTTTCATCCTTTATAAATTAATATGCAGTTATAATGCTTTTCCCTTTCACTTATATCCTCTCTGAAGAAAGAAACAGAAGTGATGGCTACCTGGCCATACCCCGTGATCACTCAACCCAGCTAAGGTCCACCCATCCCAAGTATCACTTGTGGTTGGGCTACAAGATTCGGAAAATGACCATGAAAGTAATTTTAAATACAAGTCATGGTTAAAAAATAAAAATCATGCTCGAAAATTGTATTAACAAATGATACAAAATTTTCATTTTTATTTTGTATAAAAACTGGTTTAGATATAAGAGCTTAGAGAATTAGAAAAAATTGTAGGGAGTTTAAGAGAAAAATTTGTGATAATAATAATTTTGTTTTTAATGATATTTATATTATATTAGAAACTAAAAATAACGAAAGATACATATATAAACTAGTCAAACAAAATGATAACAAAAATAATAATTCAATTCAAGTAAAGTTTATGAAAAATGAAAATTAAAAAGTATTTTTCTTACATGAGGATATTCAACATATGTGAGTTCGATATTTTGAACATTTCAATGAAGTTTGTAAAAATACGATCAACTTTCATGATCTTAATATTGTAAATAATAACAATAATTTTTATTTCTACTGTCGCAACAGTAAAACCGTAGTTGAGGAGGCTTTAAAGATAATGAATGAAACATGAAAAATCAGTAAAATTTGATGGCATTTCAATAAAAGTGTGAAAATGTTTAGGAGATTTAGGAATTTTTTGGCATAATAAATTTTTTTAATGTTATTTTAAAAGCTAAAAAGATGTGTGATGAGGGGAGAAAGACTCTATTGGTTCTTATTTTTAAGAATAAATGGGATGCAGAAGAGTGTGCAAATTATAGAGGAATTTAAGTTTATGTGTTATACATTAAAATTAGAGAGAAAGTAATTGACCACATCTTATGACGTGAAACAAAAATTTCTCAAAATAAATTTGGATTCATGTCGGGCAAGTCTACTATGGAAGCTATACATTTATTGTGAGATTTGATGGAGGAGTACAAAGAGAATAAGGGGGTTCTATATATAATTTTTGTCGATTTAGAAAAAAATTATGATGAGATTTCAATAAAAAAAAATACTTTGAAGAGTTATAGAAAAGAAAAGTATTGATATTGCTTACATTCAAGTCATTAAATATATGTATACTAGAGTTGTTACTTGTGCTAGAATACAAGGGAATTGATCAAGTACTTTCCTACTTCAGTTGGTTTACATCATAGATCGGCTTTAAGCTAATATCTTTTTGCTTTGGTTATGAATGTTCTTATGGGACATTTATAGGAGGATGCATTTTGGCATATGATTTTTGCTAATGATATCCTTCTTGTGGGTAAGATTAGAGAGAGAGAGTTCAGAAAAAACTTGAATTATTGAGGTCAACTTTAAAGTCTAAAGGCTTTCGTTTTAGTAGATCTAAAACTGAATATATAGAATGTAATTATAGTAGTAGTAGATCTAATGGCGGGGTTATAGCAATGAGTTATCAAATTATTAAAAGAAGTAAACGTTTTAGATATCCCAGGTTTATTGTTCAAAATGATGGTGATAGAGATGGGGATGTTATTAGTAAAATTCAAGTTAGAAGGTTGAAGTAAGGGAATGCATATGGCCTATTGTGCGATAAAAAATTATCGCTTAAACTTAAAGGTAGATTTTATAAGATGACGGTGAGACTTGCGATGTTTTATGGTGTAGCAGTGCAGAATGTTGGCCTATAAAAGAGAAGCATAAAATTAAGTTAAGTCTTGTTGAGATAAGATTGCTCGGGTGGATGAGTGGCTTTACACTTAGAGACAAAATGCGAAATGAATATATCCGTGAAAGGGTTGGGGTAACTCCAATGACAAACAAGATTAGAGAGAATCACCTTAGATGGTTTGGTCGGATTAAACGTCAACTATTAGATCACCGAGTTAGGAGAGTAGATGTTTTATATTGGACTTAAAGCTAGAGGTAGATTTAGAAAGACTTGGGCAAGTTGTCTAAGAAGTTATCTAAATTTATTAAAATTAAATGAATATATGACACTAAATAAGACATGATGGAGAAAAAGGAGTCATGTAACATACCCAACTTAGTGGGATAAAGCTTTTTTGTTGTTTGTATTTGACACAGGTGATATAACTTGGCTTCATCCAAGTATAAAATTATCAAGTCATGAATAAAATGATTCTGATAACGTCTTGTCAGATATTTTGAAAATCTTAATCACTAGTTAATCATGATTCCTTTTACTCTACTTTAGTCATTAAGAATAAAAACTACCACTTTGACTTACATGTTGAGAGCAGAAATCATTTGCTTTCGAATGAGTTACTCTTCTTGGCAAGCAGGGAATAAATCATTAAAAAAAAAAACATTACATTTTCTAAGTGTGTAAGGGTTTCAAAATTTAGGATGTAAATTTCAATAGGTCTTCTTGTAAAGCCACTAGACGGATCTGAAGCCAACCACTTTATTTTGATAATTATTTAAAAATACATAAGCTAAAAGAAAATTGCAACAAACTTCAACTAGGAATAACCAAGATGCCTCACCCTTTCTCCTTTAAATCCATCCATGAAAAAAGTTTACAACAAGCATGCATGTTTTTTGTTGAAGAGCATAGATTTTTTGTGAGAATCAAAATATAAATATTTTACATGCCAAAAAAGAGCATTGAACAGCAAAACTTTCAAATATTATGAAGATCAAAGTATGTAAATAATCCATAAATAAACTGCGTAAAGAGGTGGTCAAAATAAATGTTATCCTAGAATACCAGCAGATTATTGACTCATGTCATCAAAGTTTTATGTATTTCAACCATGATACACATTACTGTTTCTTACTGAACAAATCAGTGCTAGGACTCAATTTGATAACCCACAAGATTGATTTGTATTAAACTAAGCATTTGTCAATATTTTTAATAGTCTTTTTTGGGAGCAATTATATGCATACCACGCAATTCCAATCTATTTACATATCTAATATTTACATATCTGACACCCAAACTTTGATCTTAGGTTTATGACACTCAAATTTTTCACAAATATCGCTATAACTAACTTCTAAAAAGTAAAATACATATTTTTCATGCATAGAAAAAGTGCTATAAATATAAAAATCAAAGCATAGGTGTTAAATATGTAAATCCATTCTTTTTAAGGCAAAACATCCTGAATTTTAACATACACTGCCACCTTAAATTGACCTCTAGCTAATAAGCAGAAGCACATTACAAAGAGCAATACGTTTGAAGCAATTGTATTTCATAAAGATCTCATAAACTTGTCATCTGAGTATGATTCAGGTTTTTAACTGAAAGAAGTGGGGTAAAGCGTCAATGAATTGAGAATCAATACTATAAATCTTGAAAAACATCACAATATGCCCACACAAAAAGGCCATGTTTGGATCCTGGCAACTGGAGTCAAAAGAAATGAAAAAAAGAAAAGAAAAGATCAAATCACTGGTTATAGATTCATAATATCAAACAGAAAATCGCTGCAGTTAAACATCATTTCCTTAATTTTCCTTCAATCAAAACAACGTCATGCTAAGCTATCATTCACAGAAAAAACTTCCTACCGGATTGCCTTCGACTCAAAAGACTCTGCTCGGATTCTCCAGAATCAACCGGATGAGTGAATGAAGACATGGGATCAATCAAACTATTCTCCAGCGAGATCTAAGAAAAACAAAGCTCCATCTAAACCCCTCTTGCAGAAGGCAGATTCCTCAATATGAAGCATCACCGATACATCAAGCATCTTGCCAGCATCCGATCACAAAAACAATTGTTAGCGAATTCAAAACCAAGCAAACAGAACAATAAGTCTTCCAGCCCCATAATCTACAATACCAATTTCCGTAGAAAAAAAACCAGAGAAGGTCAACAAAATCCTCCACGCAGAATACAGAGGCAAGCCGATCCGAAAAAAACTAAAAGAGATTGGAATCGAGCCGAAACAGTTACAGGCTTGAGAAGTTTCATTCCTCAGGTGAACGTACCTAATAATTTTTCATTCCTCAGAGAGAGATCGAAGGAAGAGGGTAAAGCAACTCCCGAAAAATATGGAGGAATCCGAGGCCACCTACACTGTAGTTCGTTGGCTCCATCGTTCGGTCGGCCGCGGTGGGGAACAATACGTGAATAACGTGATGATGAAGGAAATTAATGGAGCCCGCGATTCCATAAAGAATTTTGATTTGGGTTTTGATGTTAATTTGGATCCGGACCTTCGTGAGATTCGATTTCGATAATTATGATTTTAACTTTTAACCCTTTTTTTTTGTATTTTAGATTTATATTAATAATACATAATTTTTTGTATCTATTTATTCAATATTTAGATTTTAATATTTTTTATGACAATTAAACTTTTAATATTATATAAAAAATATCATCAATAATAAACTTTTAAAATGGAATATTATTTTCATGAGCACAAGAATTAGGTTGTATGTATGAATATCAATATATACATATAAGAATTTTTGTTAAATTTCATAGAAAATATGCATTGAAGCCAAATCTATTTATAAATCACCCCCAAAAAATAAAGCCAGAGAGAGGGAGAGATATAGGTAAACAGGGTTGTTTTAGCGGAATAATACTAGTAATTCACTTGTAATTGTTTTTAAGAAGTCCTCTTTACACATTATTGTTCTCATATTTATAATAAATAGAAGTTATATTATTAAATTTTGATAATGCCCTTGAGATTTTTCATTATCGGTCTGCCTAAGGTCAGCATTATTATAGTCGAATCATATCTTGTTGGTTTCACTTGCTCCTAAGATAACGAGTCATTAGTCTATTTATTTAGTTAAGTTAAACTCTAATTATCATTTTGTTCGTGACAATTAAATCGGGTGCTCAAATCTCTCTTGCCCATTTAAACCGTCATTAAAAAAATGCTAGGTTCATTTTTTTCATTAATTGGTGTCTGTTTTTCTACTTAAAAAAATTAAAAAAAATTAACAAATATGATATATTTATACAAATACATATGAAAGTTTTTTAATCAAATTAATTGTAAATATAAATTTAAATGTAAGAAATTTCTCACATAATCTTAGATTTTGTATATTTATGAAGGAAAATTTACATATATACCACACAACTCTTATGCATTTACATATCTACCATCTAAAATTGGCATTTATATTTGCTACTCTTTGGTATTAAAAACCTATGCAACCAAGTGATAGTGATATTTTTGATGTGACGCCAACAATTTAAGTGCTGTGTAGGTAAATATGAAAGTTTAAAAGTTAGATATGTAAATATATACAAATTGTGTGGTATGTAAATGTCTCATTTATAAATCTAACACCAAATTACCATCTTTTATAATAACATCAACAACATTTTTCTATTTTGTATCAATGATTTGATTGTAATAAGTGCAAATATATAGTTTATAGTTAAACCTAGCACCTCGTTAAATCCATTCTTCAATTGCTTCCATGTATTTTTTAATGTAAATCCGGATTAAATTCAACTATTTGATAGATCTAATGGATTTAACTTGAAAAGAAAGTCGTGACTACAAGAACCTGAAATAAAATGCCAAACATATCTAACAATTTTAAATGGATCTAACCTCAATTGAATCAAACATTATTTTAAATTTAACAGTACATGAATTTGATAAATCAGGACTTACCGGGTTTACTAAATTCTATTATAAATCCTGAGTGCAGCTGAACACCCCCTGAGTTTGCTCTCATCGGCTAACCCTGGATTTAATCTTTCCCAACTTCTATGTATGGCAAGAGAATCCAAGTCAAACATACATTCAATAAATTTCATAGCGAGTGCTACACAAATACAACAAGCTGTTAAGGATTTCTTAGGATTAATTCAAGGACTAACAATTCTAGAGTTAAAAATCCAACATGATGCTGTAATTGAACCTTAGTATGAGATTGCTCTAGCAGGAACTAGGGTTACATGTCATTAAAGAGATGGAGCAAGATTAGTGAATCTTAATTAATTCTCTTTTTTCTTAAACAGATTTGCATTATATTATAGCACAATGTGAAATTAAATCTAACAAACTTGTTAGGTATGGCTCATAATACCAGAATTTGGAGTCTCTTGGAATGAAGAGATGTCTCTTGGAATTTAAGAGTTGTCACTTGGAATTTAGTGGGTTGGGGGGATCAACGAGAGCGCAGCAGAAGCGTGGTGGTCCAACCCACATTGGTGCATAAGGAACTCCATGATGTATTTTGTCCTAAAGAGCTGAATATCCGTCAAGGTGGAGATTTGTTAGGCATATGCATTTCTTCTAAGGGGCTCAATATTCGCCAAGATGGAGATTTGTCGGGCATATGTATTTCTCTTAAGGGGCTGGATATTCGCCAATGTAGAGATTTGTTATGTATGACTCATATATCATAAATGAGACAGATGTTGGAGCGGAGCGGAGCCCACGAGCGAAGTAGAGCGGAATGATCTGTCCAATCAGGGGAGTTTCATTATGTGGGTTTAGGGTGCAGGGCCAACCCCCCACGGTTTAGTACATGGGTAATTTAAGTAATTACATATTGTGTTATAGGGTTATATATATGTCATGTTTGTAACCCTGGGTAAGTCTCTGAGATTTTGAATCTTGTATTTTGTACTATTTTCTGAATATTGAAAAGGAGGTCGCGACTCTGCTCCTGAGGATGTAGGCATCTTTGTCAAACCACGTAAATCAATGTGTGCTCTTCTAGATTTGTGTCGATTCTTATTTTTCTTGGCCCTAATCTTTCAACAAGTGGTATCAGAGAGATGTTCGAGAGCAGTGAAGAAAATTATGAGTAGCGCAGGAATAAAGAAGATTTTGGTCAAGGAGTTTGGCTAGTGTTTGAACAATTTGGGCTCCAGATCGAAAGCGAAGTTCAGAGTTCGGCTTCGACGAAGTTTTGCGAGGGTTCGATTAGCGAATCACGATAGTAGTTCGAATCGGCAGAGAGGGCGTTCGGCAATTCAGCGCAGGAAGAGTCGCTCGCAGAGCAGTTCAGCGCGACAAGGTTGCCAGAGTTCGCACAACGCAGGAGTTCGCAGGCAATCGGACGAAGAAGTGCGCGAATCGCAGCAGACAGGAGCAGTAGTTTGCGAATCGCGGGAGAAGGCGTTCGCAGGTTCGGGCGCGGAGGAACAGTTCGCGGCGGCGGTTTTCGCGAATCCCGCGAGTTCAGCGAATTCGACAACGAACAATTCGCGATGGTGGTTTCCACGCAGGAGGAAGCAGTTGCGCAGGAAGGGGTTCGCGTGAATCGCTGGAGCCGAAATAGGAAATGGAGCCAGAAGAGGAAAGGAGCTTTTCCGGAAGGAGATTTTCTGGAAAGGAGCTTTTCTACAAAGCAGATGCAGAGCCTTTGTGAGAATGAAAGCGGAGCTTAAAAGGAAAGCGAAGCTTAAAAGGAAAGCGAAGCTTAAAAGGAAAGAGGAGCTTTTCTCGAAAGTCGAGGCGGAGCTTTTCTTTGAAGTCTAAGGAAAAAAATTTCTGGAAAAGTCTAATTAAAGAAAATTTAATTAAGGGAAATTCCTTTGGAAACATAATTAAGAGAAATTCTTTTTTTTCTTGGAAACTTAATTAAGAGAAACTTAATTAAAGAATTTTAATTAAGGGATTATATAAAAGGGCCCAACCCACATTGGTACAGAAAAAACTTCATGATATATTTCTCCTAAAGGGCTGAATATTCGCCAAGGTGGAGATTTGTTAGGTATATGCATTTTTCCTAAAAGGGTTGGATATTCGCCAAGGTTGAGATTTGTTAGGCATGGCTCATAATACCAAAATTTGGAGTCTCTTAGAATGAAGAGATGTCTCTTGGAATTGAAGAATTGTTTCTCTTGAAATTTAGTGGATTGGGGGGATCAGCGAGGGCGCAGCGGAAGCGTGGTGGCCCAACCCACATTGATGCATAAGGAACTCCATGATGTATGTTCTCCTAAGGAGCTGGATATTCGTCAAGGTGGAAATTTGTTAGACATATGTATTTCTTCTAAGGGGTTGAATATTCGCCAAAGTGGAGATTTATCGGGCATATGTATTTCTCCTAAGGGGCTGGATGTTCGCTAAAGTGGAGATTTGTTATGTATGGCTCATATACCATAAATGAGACAGATGCTGGAGCGGAGCGGAGCCCACGAGCGAAGTGTAGCGGAAGGATTTGTCCAATCGGGGGAGTTTCATTATGTAGGTTAGGGGTGCAGAGGCAACACCTCACGATTTAGTACGGGGATAATTTAAGTAATTACATATTATACTGAGTCTCTGAGATTCTAAATCTTGTATTCTATGCTCTTTTCTGAATATTGAAAAGGAGGTCGCCGCTTTCCTCCCGAGGATGTAGGCATCTTTGCCGAAACTCCTAAATCTCTTTATGCTCTTTTGGATTTATGTCGATTCTTATTTTTCTTCGCCCTAATTTCTCAACAAAACTTATATTCATAAAAATCTTCCAAACAGACCAAATGATTCACAGTTATAAACAGGAAATTCATAAGCTTCGTTAGGCTGCAAATAAAAAAAGAACAATTAAATAATAAAACAAGCACCTCAGAGCCATTCTACAAACCTTTCAAAAATAGATATTGACTTCCAATAAGCTCGTGAGCTCGCAATTATGAGAATATTACATGCAAGCTTATATTGTTCTTCGATGAGCAGAAAGTAGAGTTAATAGCTAATTCATTGTCTGCAAGAATATCACACGTCACTCCTCTTAGGCTTGTGAGAAACTGGAAATACCTTACAACAATAAGTGAAATCCTGTGTTTCAGTTTTTACTCAAAAAGAAGAGGTAATAATAAGCGGGCGAAATTTTTAAAAGGAGCTCCTATAATAGTAGATTTAGGGGAAGGAGCTCCCCATAAAAAAATTTTGAGAAGCAGCATGCACGCCCAGGGGGAGGCTCGTATGGTTGATACGCGCCCCCCTTGGGGGCGGTATCATATACACGCCACTCGACGGACACGTTTGCCACTTCTCAATTTATTTATTTTTTTTTATGGGGACCTTTTAAAAATTTTGCCTAATATTTATAATAATATTTTATATATTATATATTAATAATAATATTATATATAATAAAATTAGAAAACTTTGGAGTGTAAACTCCCCCAAGGGGAGCGCATCTCCTTCACATGCGCGCCCCTTATGGGGGTGCATTTGCTTAAAAAAAAAATTTGTGCTCCAACAACTAATTTGATAATGAAATGTGATCCTTTCTAAGCCCGCTAAATAAATAAATTTTGAATACCACATCAGCAGAAGGAATCCATTCATTTGTTGCAGGATTCCCATGGCCAGAAATGTGGCCGAAAGATGTAGTTGACTCTGGAGTCAGGTTGAAAGAATTTTCATTTGCTTTCTCCATCTTGATGAAGCCAGTTCCAGTCTGACATGTATTAGAACATGAAAAAGCGCAGAGGTATGGGAGATTATTAGCTCTAAAGAGTGGTTTCAATATAAAAATAATTTGGAAAATTTATATGTATTCCACAAAATTCATATGCGTTTACACGGTTAACATATAATGTTATATATTTACATTTATAACAACTGTTGTCATAAACCTGTACATGAAAAGGTGTATTTCACTTTTAAAAGATAAGCAACAGTGGTATTTTTTTTATGTGATGTTATAGATTTGAGTGCTATGTATGCAATGTGACAATTTTAGTGTTAGATATGTAAATACAGAGGATTTGTGTGGTGTGTATGTAAATGGCCCTAATAATTATTATGCCTGAGTTCTGATGACCCAACATTATAAAATGATGAGAAAATGTAATTTCATGTAACTTGAAATGAATTTGTTCCATAGTTAAGATATAGAATTGTTCGAATTCAAATTGATGGGCGAATGAGTTTGAGAGTTTTAAATTGAGCTATGAGATTTAATTGGTTTTAAGGATTGGGTAACCAAATAGCCAATTGGTTTTAAGAATGAGGGTTTACTAAATCCTATTAGAATAGGATTTATAAAAACCAGATTAAAAAAAAAGCAAATTTAATTTGAACCAGAAAGAGCCAAAATCACAATACTCACATTAGCAGCAGAATTAATAAGGTGAGAAATTTTAAAAACCGCAAAGGCAAAGATAGTATTGAAAACTAATATTGAAGTATTAAACTGGTACCAGCTGACAATTTAGATGGTTGAAAATAATGTATACATATAATGTATTGGCTCATGTTCAAAAGAATTGAATGAAGGAAAAAATGTTTTCATAACAAAATGAGCATTAACGTCCTCTCAATTCATGACTTGATAAACTTACAACAACAACAAGCCATTATCCCAGGGGCCGGCTACATTAATCTTTTTTCTCCATAGCATCATATTGAGTGTCATATTTTCATATAATTCTAATAAATTAAGATCATTTTTATACAATATGCCCCAATCTTTTAGGTCTACCTCTGTCTTTCTTAACATAAGTCGAATCTAAAACATCTACGCTCCTAACCAGATCATTAGATTGTCGATATTTAATGTGAGCAAATCATCTAAGACGCCTCTCTTTAAGCTTGGCCGCCACTTGAGCTACACCAACCCTATCCGGATCTATTCATTTCGCATTTTGTCGCTAACTGTCAAGCCACCTATCCACCTAAGCATTCTCATCTCAACAACACTTAACACTTAACTTTGATTTGATTTATGCTTCTCTTTTAAAGGTCAACATTTTGCGCCGTAAAGCATTGCAGGTCTCACCACCATCTTATAAAATTTTCCTTTCAATCTAAGCGGGACTTTTCTATCACACAATAGGCCCAACGCATTCCTCCACTTCAAACAACCAACTTGAGTTCTACTAATAGCATCCCCATCTATATCACCATCACTTTGAACAATAAACCCGAGATATCTAAGACGTTCACACCTTTAAAGATTTGATCACCCATAGTTACAACTCTGAAACTAGAGCTACTACTAATGAAGTTACATTCCATGTATTCGGTTTTAGTTCTACTCAAACGAAGGCCTTTAGACTCCAATGCAGACCTCCATACAAGTTTTTCTTGAACATTTTCTCTAGTATTATCCACAAAATGGATATCACCAGCAAAAAACATAAACCAAGGCACATTTTCCTGTAAATGTCCAATAAGAGCATCCATAACTAAAATAAAAAAGATATGGGCTTAAAGCTAATCCCTGATGTAATCCAACTGAAAAAGGAAAAAACTTGGTCAATCCTTCTCATGTTTGAACACAAGTAACAGCTCTAGTATACATATTTTTAATTGAATTGAATATAAATCATATCAACATCTTTCTTCTTTAGAATTCTCCAAATGACTTCTCTTGGAATGTTATCGTAAGTTTTTTTCTAAAAAAATAAAAAACATACGTAGATCCTCCGTATTTTCTTTGTACTTCTCCATCAAACCTCTAAATAAATGTATAGCTACCATCGTAGGCCTAACTAGCATAAATCCAAACTGATTATGAGAAATATTTGTAGCATGTCTTAATATATGTTCAACTACTCTCTCCCATAGTTTTAAAGTTAGACACATGAACTTAATTCCTCTATAATTTGCACACTCTAGGACATCCCTTTTATTCTTAAAAATGGGGACCAAAATACACTTTCTCCACCCATTAGGTATCTTTTGAGTTTTTAAAACAATATTAAAGAGTTTAGTAAGTCAATAAACTCTCAAATCTTTTAAATATTTCTACACTTCAATTGAAACATCATCAGCTCTTACAGATTTTTCACCCACTGTTTTCTTCCATGCCTCATCAATATTTTTTTTACTAATGCGACGGTAAAAATAAAATATTTTATTATTATGAATGATATTAAGATTACTAAGGTCGAACGTATTTTCAGAAACTTTATTAAAAAATTTATTAAAATAGTTGACTATCGAACCAGCCTTATTGAGCTCGGTCTAGTCTACGCACATCCTCTATGCATCGCTAGCCTTTTTAACCATGATGATATTGGCCAACCACGCGAGGTCACCTCTCGTATGAATTTTGCCTCCATAAGCTTTTTGACTTACTGTTCAATGACTTGTAAGCAATATGGGGCAAAGTTATGCTTCTTCTGGACAATCGATTTAAAGGTTAGATCTACCCTTAAAGAGTGCATGATTACTCTAGGGGCAAGTCGGCCAGGGTCCATGCAAAAATGTGATGGTTCCTCTGGAGGAGATCTACATATGTTGACCTCTGCTCATCAAAGAGTAGGGAATCAAGCTACATCATTCGTGAGGGGTGTTCATCGGAGAGCGGGACATGGATCAAGTCTTTCAGGGAGATGTCAGTTGAGATACATCTTCATCTCGAAGATCAAAGTTCACGATGCTAAGTGTCACTGATGCGAGTGATTGGGCTTGCCTGAGGCAACATGATTGTGCTATATGTTGGTCCTCTTGTACGACGTCGATCCCTGCTGGAATTGGGAACTTGAAATTCAGGTTTGGCATAGAAGTCACAATGCCAAAGATGAATTGTAGGGGTCTCCCGAAGATGGCATTGTATGATGATTCTAAGTTGATGGCTATCAACTAATTTGAGTGAGTTATCTGTTGAAGAAAATCTCCCACGAAAATTGGGAGATTTATTTTTCCTTCGATATTTAATGGTTGATTATCAAAACTGTATAATGGCCCGGATGCAGGTTGAAGTTTTTCCCTTGTCAGCCTCAAACTATGGAAAGTAGAGTAAAATAGAACATTGACAGAGCTCTCATTGTCGATCAGCATCATCTTTACGTTGTAGCAGGGTTCGCCACTTTTTAAACTGATGACGAGAGGGTATTAGTGGGGGAGTTTGACTCCTTCCAAATCAAAATTATCAAAAGCAATAGGCTCGAGGCGTAATTGCTTCTACACTGGTTCACCAGTTGCAGTGATAAGTACTTGATCGATCAGCAACAAGCCCCCAGCAATTGTCTGAATTTTGTCCACGACTGGATAACCCCCATGTTGTTGTTTTTGTGTATGTTGCCCCCCCCCCCCCCCCCCCCCCCCCTCCTGCCACTGC